CCCTAAACCCTAAACCCTTTGGGTTCGAACTCACTTGAAAAGCGCCTCCAGCAGACTTCCGGGGTCTCGAAACGAACGAGACAAAGATGTTCCTGGGCTCTCGGAGGGTTTAGGGTTTAGGGTTTAGGGTTTACAGAGCTCTTTGCTTGGCTGCTAGAGGGCTTTTGTAGGGTTTGTCTATGCTGAAAAGGGCCTCATGAGGATGTTGCAAGGCCTTTTTGAGGCAGCTTTAAGCGTAGAAGCGTGCCAGAAGGGTCTTAGAATTGATGAAGTGTAAAGGCTATAAATGGGTCTATGAATCTCTGTAAGGGCTTTATAGGGATGCCTTGGGCTGTTGGCTTCAAGGGTTTGGGGTTGATCATTTATGCTCCGAAACTCTTGAATTCAATGTCCCTAGTTCGGGATCCCGATGCCTTTAAACCCTAAACCCTGACTCACAAACATAAATCCTCAGCTCCAAAAAAGAACCAGGGCGAAACAAAAAGTCATCCATCTTAAAATAACCATCCGCAGGTTTGGGGCGTTAGTTCTTGGGGTAATGGTGTAAGGCTTATAGGGTTTAAAGTGTAGCGTTTCGAGTTTGCACCTGGCGGTGCAAACCGAAATGAGGTCTACAAGCCTCACGGATGTTGAATATAAACCTTGCAAGGCAGAAGCGACCCATAGCTGTAAACATCGTTATGATGCATCAAAGCCGCAAAGCCGTTCTACAGACCTTTGAACCCTGTATAATGTATCACAAACCCTATGTAAAACCCTAAACCCTAAACATCCCTAAACCCTAAACCCGCCGTATATGACCAGGCGAGAGGCCGTTGCGCTCCACCTGGACGATTGTGCTCGAAACCTGGGTGGCCTCGCACATAAAGAAACTGTAATGCAGGGCCCTTAATAATTAGAATAGGGTTTTGGGCTCCTAAATAGCATAACTACAACACGGAACCCCAAGGCATAATAGTGGTAGTTATGTAGGTTTCTATATTACGCGCCCGGGTCTGGTGGTGCAGGTTCTTCGGAGACTTCACCCTTAAATACTTTAGAACTACCCTAAACCCTAAACCCTAGGGTTTTTTTTTTAAACAGTGCAATGGCCCTTTGTCTTCGCGGCGAAGGTCGGGGCTTGCCTTTTGCAAGCATGCACTAATCCAAAACCCCAGAGTAGGCTCTCAGCCTACCATCAGCGAAGACTTACATCCAGACATCTAGGGTTTAGGGTTATAGAAAGGGTATGTTTAGGGCCCGAGGCTTGAGGTCTCCGGGTTCGGGATGTCAGGGACTAACGCTCGGAGTTTGGGGCTCTGGGGCTTTTGGCTTGGTGTTTTGGCGTAGGGCCTTTCAAGCCACCCGGGTTTGGGGTTTAGGGTGGTTTGGGGTTTAGAGGATCTTACTAATAGAGACTTGTGGTCTTTCAGAATTGGTTAAACTCGAAGGCCACGTCTTGATCTACGCCACGAGCCCTAGACCCCAAACCCTTTGACAGAACTGAAATGTTGACCAGCGAGGCTGCAACTAAGGAGCAGCCAGCAAGTGGGAAAGAAGACGGTGCAGAGAGAGCACAAAGACACACCACTGAAACGCTTGAAGATATATATATATAATAAAAAACATATTATATATAAATATATATATATATAGAAATCTCTCTCTCTCTCTCTCTCTCCTATGGTACGACTGCTACGAGGCACAATCATAGAGTGTCCAGCGACCACGGCTGCAGACGGCACAATTGTGTTGGAGCAGCGCTCGAGTTACGTGGTGCAGAAACGCAGCTCGCAAGGAATTCTCGCCTGCGGCATTGTCGAACGAGCTCGCCGAAATCCCTAAACCCTAAGCCCCCAAACTCTAAACCCTAAAGCCCTAGACCCTATCACTCAAAACCCTTCAACCCCAAAACCCTGCACCCCGAACCCTGAACCCCCTATCTGGGAGGGTCATACCCTACCTTTTTTTCGGGTACCTAGTTTTATGGCTTGATATAGAGACAAACAGGTGCCACCCCCAACAAACGGGTACCACCCAAAGAAATGCCTAGGGTATGACCCTAGGACTTAAACCCTAAATCCTAAACCCTAAACCCAAACCCTTTAAAAGAGGGGTCCTAAACCCTAAATCCTAAACCCTAAACCCGAAATCCTAAACCCTAAACCCTAAATCCTAAATCCTAAGCCCTATAAGCCCTAAACCCTAAACCCTAAACCCGAAATCCTAAACCCTAGACTCTGGCATGGAACGCTTGGGATCAGACCAGGGCGCCAAAGAGCACCGGAGTCCTCGGGATCCCAGAGACGTAGAGGCTTCAGGGTTCAGGGTTCAGGGTTTAGGGATTATAGGGTTTAGGGATTTTAGGGACGAGCGTTTAGGGTTTAGGGATTAGGGTTTAGGGTTCAGAGTCCAGGGCTCAGGGTTCAGGGTTCAAGGTTTAGGGTTTAGGGTTCAGGGTTTAGGGTTCAGAGTTTGGGGTTTAGGGTTGAGGGTTTAGAGTCTAGGGCTCAGGGTTCGGTCTTTTTGGTGGGGCTTTAGAATCCGAACAGTTACCTTAGGGCAGCACCAAGAAACCCTCAGTGCTCTTACTGCTGCAACTAGTCCTCTACTTAGTCCTGTTATCATTCTCAGCTTCTGTGACTTCATAAACCCCAAAGTGTGTTCTCTTTCCGTTTTACAGGGGCTTATCTTATCCCAAAAAAGTTTAAAGTGCAGCCATTCAGCTACTAAGGGCATGCATATGGGGCTTAGGATTTCTGGCTTTGGGCACGTATCTTTTCGGCAATGATGATTCATCCCTTAGCTTAACCCTAAACCCTAAACCCCTAAACCCTAAACCCTAAAACCCCTAAACCCCTAAACCCCTAAACCCCTAAAACCCTAAACCCCTAACGCTTTGAGCTGCCGAGCCGCAGGCGCATGGGCATCGCTCACCGCTTCAGCCTACTTGGAGGTTCATGGGTAGTTAGAAGTAGAGTTCCTTTGAGGGTTCCTTTCAAGGGTTCTATGGCTTCAGCCTGTAGCATGCAGCAGGGGGAGTTTCAGTGGTCCGCTACATAGCGATGGTCTTGAGGTTTGGGCATATAGGGATCTGTGTCGAAGGATGTCGAAGGCCTTGAAGACATATCAGTTCCAGGGGCACGTCGCAGGATGCTTGCAACTCCGCTGTTGAGGCTGCAAGTAGCATGTCTGAGTTTATCAGCGCACGAACACCTTAAACGCTTGGCCCGAAACTCGCACATCCTTGAATCCGAAGACTTCGAGTGAACACCGGATGAACTCTTCATATGGAAGCATCCATAAAGCAATCACCTTCCACCTTGCCTAGAATCCTGAAAAAGGCTGGTCCTTCGAAGGCTAAACGGGGCCTGCATGCCGTTCCTTTGTATGGAAGCTCTTGAAAAACCAGCAATCTTCCATGGTGCCCAGATCGCAAAGGTGATAAACCCTCATCCCTCCACTCTAAACCCTAAACCCCAACCTCTAGACCTTAAACCCTAACCCCCCAACTCTAAACCCTAAACCCTAAGCCCCATACCCTAAACCTCCCACTACAATAGTCCCCTCAACTCAACGATACCCAGCCGCCTAGCCCGACACTTGCCGCCCCCCCCCCCGCCCTCGCCGGCCACCTGAAGAAACAATACCACAGTAGTACTAACAACGGGATGAAGGTACCAGCACTATAACAATCATCGTCACAATACAAGCACACCAACTATCATGGTACGAATGATGGTGACGATGGTGATGACAATGAAGATGGCGATGATGATGATGATGA